TGTGGATTGCATTGTTTACGTTGGTTCTTTTTGTTCACCTGTCCGTTCTCATCCTTTGCTATCCTAGTTCCTGTCGTTAGTTTGTGTGTTTACCGTCCTGGTCTCCTTAGTCATCACTGCCCTTCCCTTGTTGTATGTATTATGGACCCTGTTATGTTGTTTTTATTCCATTAAACCACCTTTTTTTGTACTAGCACCTGGGTCAGCATTCTTGAGTCCAACCCCAGTTCTCCCTCACCCTCCTGGTGAGGGGGACTAAACCATAACACAGTTCTCCCGCACCCTCCTGGTGAGGGGGACTAACCATAACAACTTTCATATTTCTCTTATTGTTATATGCACTTTGTGTTTGAAGCCCGTGTTTTACATTATTGCAACAAAAGGATTAAAATGTGTGTGATATCTCTGCTTGTATGTCTCCTGTGAGATCAACATAATGAAGGAAGGTTTGCTGGTGTAGTTTTACTGTGCAGTTCCCTGAATGAAGGCAAAGAACAGAGCGAGGGAGGGTGACGGGTGTCCTGCCATTGTTTTATGTCTAAGGTAAATCACTATTTTCTTATATTGTATTTGCATCTGACCTGATTCATTTTTACATCCATGTACAAAGTCATCTCTCTTTCTTGCCTGATTGGTATAAACTGAAACATGCCTTCATAATGGACTCTAGTGGATTTCTATTAAATTGCCAACACAGATTGATAGGATGCATTGTTACAATGTTAAACCCTTTGAAACAAACACAAAGTGAGGCTTTTATCAGTCCAGGAATGCTGAAAGGACTGAGCAGTGGTTTGATGGAGTGAGGACAGGAAGTGAACAGCAAATGGCGCTAGGGATGGAAAGAAGGGAAATTAGCTGTGTTTATTTACACAAGTGGAAGATGAAAGTGTGTTTTATTCAGTTTTGTTTCCATCAGCTCTTGCAGTGTTCTATGAGAAAAGTGGAGTGATTGTGAAAGTGTTAGATGACACAGCACTTGGACACTAATGGTAAATGGTCATATACTTGTATGGCGCCTTTCTATGCTTTATAGTACATTCAAAGTGCTTTCACACTATTTGGCCATTCACCCAATTGCACTCACAAACTCACACACCGGTGTTATCGTCAGTTGAGTTTGGACATTTAATGAAATGGAATACCAATATTCACAGGACCCCTCTCAGTATTTCTGCATTGAAGCTGGTAATAACCAGTCCTCCTTAAGTCCTCTGCTTAACTTGGTGTGTGAACAGAGATCAACAGTGCCAGTATTCAAAATACAGTTACATAAGTTTGTCCACACATAACCCTGCCCTAAAGAACTGGTCATGTGAGCACATGATGGTAATCAAACTGATGGTAACAGGGAGGAAGAGGTCAGGATGACAACTGAGTCATGAAGGTCTGTTGAGACTAAGGTCAGACGATGGTTGGTGAAGTTATGTATTAAAATTTGGATTTACTGAATGCAAACATCAACATTTTGACCAAAAGCTACATATAAAAAGGTTTATGCTGTAAAGGTCATTTTTTTTAAATGATATTTTTGTTGAGCAGTAGGAACATACTGTATATAAAGGATAAAAATGCCAACAAGACAGTTGTTGCTGTTTGACAGTTAGAGGTGCAGCATATGTGAGTATACTACACAGAAAATGGTAATTTAGGTAGTAGTAGGTGAGAATACCTGTGTGTGTGTGTGTGTGATTAACTAAGGACAGTACTAATAATAAACACCAGGAAATGTGGCTGATGTCAATATTTGATCTGGATTTGATTTCAGTATTATCTGTCTTAACTCGGTACTGTAAGAATTTTAGATCCACATAGTACACCCTACTTTCTGTGTTTCTCTTTGTAAGATAGCAGTTTTATTCCCATAAAGTGGGAGTAAAATGCCGCTATCTTCATTTTACTAGCTAGTTCAGAGAGTTCAGCACTAAATAATGCAGACTCTTGCACACACAGAAAGCTAGAAGAAATTGAGAAGCTAGAAAAGAGCATTACCAATTATTTTATAAAGAA